TCTGGTTTAATTGTATAATAAAGCAGTTTTCTTTCTGCTCTACCATTGTAGATAGTTTTTCTGGGTCTGGAGATGATTTTCTTGCTTATTATATTTCTGAAAGACTGTCCAGAGTTTCCAGACATGATATGAACATATATGGTGCCCATCAGGTTTCACTGTAGAGGGATCTTTTCCTATGGAGCTTCCAGTCACAATTTTGCAGCAAATTCTACTCTGCTGTGAAAATCTATAAGCAGAATTATCTCTCTGCCTATTTGGGATCTACAGTCTCTTCTAGATCAGATTTCTACAAAAAATAACTTCACAGGCAGCAATCAGTCATCCTGCTCTTTTTTTCAGTGTATTTTACAGCTTCAGACTTGAAACCAAGTCAGAGTCAATGGGGCCCCCAAACTCAACCAGGCTTGCACATGTGTATTGAGTAGGCCTTAGGGTCTCAACTTCCTTCTTTTTCTTTTGCACAAATGTTCATGGATATACAGAAGGCATCTGTAAGTCCCCTGGCCTCTCTAAGAACTAAATTTCTAGCTCTAAAATTTAAGTCCTCAGCTTTTTCAGGATGCCTTAGGTCTTTTCCATGAGGGGATCTTTCCTCCAGCCTCCTTCCCCTCAATATAACACCCAAGAATACAGAGCCAGGTTGATCCCACCTGACACCTGCTTATAATATCTGGTGCCCACCTGGGATTGACAAGACAGGGTCCAGATGTTGAACAAAGGATATACAGAAAATGTCTCCGCTAGAAAATCTAGCGGAGACATTTTCTGTATTAAGAAGAGATCAACATGGATATCTTAAAGCTCCATTTTTGCAGTGGGGACTTCTGAATTTTTCTGATCTTGGCCAGTGAGCTGCTGTAGTTGTGTGATGGGTTTCTGGTGTGAACAGAATCTGATTGCAGAATCTATAAGTGTAAACAAGTACCTGAGCAGCCAGAGGGCAGGGTTACAAGACATCCATTGCCCTTACCACAACAGTACCTGCCTGTACACTGTGGTACTGGGTATTAGGGCATTCTTGTCCTTCCTCTTACCCCAGAGTTAGCTGATCATGGATAGGTAATAGCACACAGCTGATCTAGGGTCAGCTGCTTCACCCGGGAAGGTTTACTCTCTCTTCTGACCCACAGGCAGCCTGAGTTTCTCCTGCCTGAGTCACCCTGGGGCCATCAGCCTAATGTCACTAGGAACTCTCTTACCAGGACCTCATACACTTTGATATTTTGTGCAGAATGGGCACAGACAGACAACAGGATTTAGTTCAAATTCCATTTCAGAGGGAGAGAAATCAGTGATCTGGGCTTTGTTTCTCCCCTCACAGAAGAAATCTCCTTGGTTGGTGCCCAGATGGGAGTTGCTCCAAGTGTCTTGGTACTTGCGTGAAGAACAAACAGGAGGTCTGGAGATGCAAACTGATGGATAAATCAATTGCCTTCATTTTGTCTGGTCACGAGAAAACGAGAGGAAGCAGTCATGGTCTTTAATGTCTAGAAACTTTCAGTCTAGAAACAATGTATCAGTGGTTGCAGTCAGCATCTTGCATTCAGTACCAAGAAGGCAGGTGTACAGGGGACTTGGGCTTCATTTGTACCATGTCCCTTATGTTGTTCTGAGTGTTGATGTCACCACTGAAGGGCAATTCATGGATAGAAGAGTTATTATTATGATTATTATTTCTATTGCTATTACCTTGTTAAGAATAAATATTAAGGTTATGATATAATTTTTCTAGAAAACCCTATGAGTTTGAGTTAAATTGCTTGTCATTGTATCTTATAAAATAGATAAGAATAGGGGTTAAAAAATTAAAATCAGGTCAGGTATGGTGGCTCACATCTATAATCCTAGCACTCTGGGAGATGGGAGGATTGTTTAGCTAAGGAGTTCAAGACCAGCCTGAGCAAGAGGGAGAAAATGTCTCTACTAAAAATGGAAAAATTAGATGGGTGTCATGGTTGTGCCTGTAGTTCCAGCTACTTGGGAGGCTGAGGCAAAAGAATCACTTGAGCCCAAGAGTTTGAGGTTGCAGTGAGTTACATGACTCCACTGCACTTTACCCAGGGCAACAGAGTGAGACTGTGTCTCAAATAATAATAATAATAAAATATATAAATAAAATCAAACAGACCTGGGAGTGGAATTTCTCTGTGGCAGGCTTAGAAAGATGGAACAGAAAACAAACCAGCAGCACAGAGATGAGAAGCCTCAGGTCTGCTCCCTGCACCAGTCCTGCCCAGATCCACCCTTTTCTGAGCCTCGTCCAAGTCTGGCTCCATTCTGAATCTCCTCTCACAGAACTGACTAGAAGAAATTAGACTTTTGGGTGTCTACTGCTGCTGTCTTTCAAAATCTAGTGCTCACAAGTTTTAAAACACAAAGGCAGGTAAATGGAAACAAAGGACTGTATTTTGGAGGCCTTGATTTTTTTCTCATTAAAACCTGTGTTTCTGGAGACATCCACCTAGCAACCTGTAGTTGTTCTACAAGTTATAAAAAGGTAAATATAAGCACAACAATAAAAAAATCCTTCTGAACTACACTTCACCCTTTTCTGGATTGCTCCTATCTGTCTATATTTCGCTTTTATTTTATATATTTTCTTTTTAAAGTCAAGTGATAGGGGAAAAAAAAGAAATACAAAGACCATCTGAATCCTGCTTGGAATTTGGGGAGATTTAGCATCTGACTTCCAGGGTGTTACTGTGAAGATCAGCTCACATACTGTATGTTCCCAGCACAGAGCCCTGTGACATACTTGTGAGCACGTGGCACCTGCTCAGTAAGCACGGCATTAACACATGTGTACATGTTGTCTTACAAATGTAGACTCACTCAGACATTGCTGCCTTCTTCAGCCTTCTGTAAACTTGAATTGGCCAGCAAGGAATGTGAACTTTCAGGATAGTATTTGTGTTGTGATAAGAGTGTTGGGTGTAAGAGACTGTTCTGTGCCTGCTGTCTCTAGCTGAGTGCTACTGACTATGGGTCTAGGGAGAGCATCATCCCTATTAAGAGGGACTTGTTATAGAAGCCAGTTCATAGACCCCTTTCAAACCTGCTGAACCACATTACTTAATGTGGGGCCTGCAATCCCCCAAAATGTATGTGCACATTGAAGCTGGAGAGACAAGACTTACTTAGCAAAGTGGTTCTCAGCCCAGGCTTCTGGTTAAGATCACATGGCCATTTGAAGACACACCATCACCTGTGCCCTCCCCACAGGTTCTGGTTTCTGTGATTAGATTCAGATTATGGTTTAAGTTTTCCCACTCATATCATGGTGGTGATTATGGTTCCATCTGTGTTCATTGACTCCTCATACCAGTTTGTCCCTTTATACCTGATGGTAGTTTTATTCACTTGGTTAAGGTGTTCTCTGCAATATTCCTTCACTATGAAACTTGTTCTTTTTCTATTTGTCATTAATACTATCTTGGGGGAATTTACTGAGTGGTGTGTTTAAACAATCACATGTAATGCAAAAACTTCTTTTTAGTTTCTACTTCCTCATAGCTTGCTTTGGAGAATAAAGGCTCATATATTTGTTGACTGGAGATAATGCTTTTGACATTGGTAGATTTAAAACAGGTCTCAGTTTTGTACATTTCTATTTTATTTTCCTTTCATGTCACAAACATGTTTCTTTATTACTTCTCTGTATTTTCAGAGAAAAGGAAGAAGAATTAACATATAAGTAATATGTTAAGCATCTTAAAACTTGAAAATGTAGCAGGGCATGAAACAAATTGAAAAAAAGGCTCTGAAACAATAGCTTTTATTTTAGTTTATATTATTGTGTGTGGTGGTCTCCATAGTTTGTCTAAAAATCATCAACAGAGATCTATAATTTTTTTACAATAAAATATATTTCTTTATACAAAAATGTTCTACTCTATCACATTTAATGTATATATAGTTATCATTTCTGTGTATTCTTGTGCATAAAATATAACATTCTTTTATCAATTTTCTGTTGCTGTCTTCTTGTTTTCATTACTCTTCTCAGTTAAGAAATCTGCCCTGAACATTGTGTTAGGGTTATCTCTGTATATTGGCCTATATGTCCTTTTGAGATAAATTCTAAGTCAGATAAATTGGGATAAAACCCAAGCTCTACTCTTTACTGGATAATTGGTAAAATATTATCATAAAATAAGAATACTGTTATTTTTCTTATAAATTATTTTTGTGGTCTTAAGCATTAATATATGAAAAACTGCCAGAATGGCATCTAGTATACAGTAAATGTTCAAAAGGGATTGCTGCTATTCTTGCTGTTGTTATAATTTGCATTTTTCATGAAACTCTCAATTCTGTGTCATCCATAAATTCTTCCCTCAATATTCTACCTCTGCTGTTCAGAAGTGTGGCTTTTAGACCTGAGGCCTTGGCATCACTTGTTAGAATTGCAGAATCTCAGGCCTCACCCAGATCTCCTGAATCAGCATCTGTATTATAACAAGATCTGTGATTCATTGTTGTACCCAGTGAAATTTGAGAAATGTGCTTCTCACTCACTATGACTTTCCATCTGAGGAATAGACACAAGTGATTCTGTTTGATGTAGATATAGCACTAGAAAATGTATATTCCTTTGGTGATGCTATAGTTTTATATTTTATATTCTATATAAACATAGTATCTACACTAATTTTGTGGATGTTATGTCATTCTCCTTCCACAGAGGTAGAGAATGCCTTAAGGAATATTAGTGTGTTAAAATGTGTATTCTTGTGTAATTCAGGTCACTCATATTTGTCAGAGCCAGTACTCTTAACTCCCTCATTTTATCTTGGGTCAAATTAAGAACTCTGCCCGTGGCCACTTGTTCATTTGTTTGTTTGTTCACTTATTTATTTATTTATTTTCAGGGACTGTTGACATTCAGTTATGTGACTGTAGAATTCTCTCTGAAGGAGTGGAAATACCGGGACCCTAAGAACTCTGCCCATGGCTACATGGTCAATGTGTTATTTATTGATTCATTTTTATTTCAGGGACTGTTGACATTCAGGGACGTGGCCATAGAATTCTCTCCAGAGGAGTGGGAATACCTGGACCCTGCTCAGCAGAATTTGTACAGGGATGTGATGTTGGAGACCTACAGAAACCTGGTCTCTGTGGGTGAGAATAACTTACCTCTAGAATATCTAATATTCCACAAGGGTTTTATTTCTTTTCTTTGCAGAATGTGTCTTGGGAGCTTGTGCTTTGAGTCCTGTTTTCAGGAAAAATAATTGGGGGATTGTTAATATACAAAAAAAAAAAAATCTTTAGTTTGACCTCATTATTTACCTTCTTTCTTGAGGTAATTTGTAGGTTTCACTTTATTTTATTGATGATTCTAGAAATTCAGTGATATAAAATATTGTCTGTACCTTAAAATCCAATTCCTTCTTTTTATCTGTGATTCAGCCATACTTGAAAGTGAAGCACAGGATCCACAAATTTAAAATGCTTCCTAAATATTCTATGGGTGCTGTTGGAAAATAGTACTTAAAAGTATAATTTTCTAGAATCATCTATAATATTCTCTCTTCTCTATTGAGTACAATGGTAAGTTGAAAATTGAAGAATCCTAAGCAAAACTCATGTTTTTTTTCTAATAAAATAGAACTTGCTGTCTCTAAGCTGGACTTGGTCACATTTTTTAAACAACTGAAAGAGCCCTGGAATGTGAAGAAAGAGGAAACAGTAGCCAAGCACCCAGGTAGGTGGGAGTGAATGAAATAGATGACACAGGTGATAAGTCCAAAGGACAAGGAGGAAGCCAGACCTTAAAGTGTGGATTAAGAAGCTCTGGCACAATGAAACAAATTTTTTTTTTTTTTAATTTTTTTTTTGAGACAGAGTCTCGCTTTCTTGCCCAGGCTAGAGTGCCGTGGCGTCAGCCTAGCTCACAGCAACCTCAAACTCCTGGGCTCAAGCAATCCTCCTGCCTCAGCCTCCCGAGTAGCTGGGACTACAGGCACGAGCCACCATGCCCGGCATTATATATATTAGTTGGCCAATTAATTTCTTTCTATTTTTATGGTAGAGACGGGGTCTCGCTCAGGCTGGTTTTGAACTCCTGACCTTGAGCAATCCTCCCACCTCGGCCTCCCAGAGTGCTAGGATTACAGGCTTGAGCCACCGCGCCCGGCCTGAAACAAATTTTTGAGAAGCCTAGATTTATTTCACTTCCTCTCATAGAAAAACATCTTTCTCATGCTCTTATTTTATCTGAGGATTGATTCTCCTTAAGATTGTGAAAAATACTATCTGAGGCTTCCCTTTTCCCTTTTCTCTTCAGTGATCCTCCATCAAATTCACAGTGAGAGCCAAAGTCCTCTCCTTGGCCTGTGAGGGCCTGCATGGTCTACTCATCCATTCCTGTGGGGTCCTGGGAAAATCTGTGCATATTTCTGACTACCTCTATGTTAACTCATTTTTTAAGTTCTGTTTTTGCCTCATGTCAGATGTGTGTGAACATGGTGGTGGACATAGTGATATTTGGTTCAGAAGTCTCAGAAATACTTCAGACAGACGTAAAATATTTTCTGTTTTATTAATTTCCAATGCTGTGATAGGTTTCAAACTTGATAATACAGAAATTAATTCTCTGTAATTTCTTCAGAGAAGAAAGCATCCCCTTTAATTAAATATTAAATTATATAATAAAATATTTAATTTAAAAATATTTATTTAAAAATTCTAATCATATATTTTACATTAACAGTTTCTTTTTCCTAGCCTGAACTAGAAATATAAGCTGTATATGCACAGTTTCCACATATGTATAATAGTTTAATGTACTACTTTCCATATAGAGTTGTTAACTAACAATTACTATGGGAAGCTTAGAACATCATCCATTATATGCTGAGATTTTGACTGTTACCTTATATCTTAATAATTATCATTTTATAATTTTGTTTGGTTAAGTATGCAGCTTATTGAGAATGTTTCCTCTATGTTTATTCATTTGTGTGTTATTCTTTTTTTCTTTATTTTTTTTATTTTTTTTATTTTTTTATTTTTTTGAGACAGAGTCTTGCTTTGTTGCCCAGGCTAGAGTGAGTGCCATGGTGTCAGCCTAGCTCACAGCAACCTCAAACTCCTGGGCTCAAGCAATCCTCCTGCCTCAGCCTCCCGAGTAGCTGGGACTACACATGCACCACCATGCCCGGCTAATTTTTCTTTTATATGTATATTAGTTGGCCAATTAATTTCTTTCTATTTTTTTATAGTAGAGACGGGGTCTCACTCAGGCTGGTTTTGAACTCCTGACCTTGAGCAATCCGCCCGCCTCAGCCTCCCAGAGTGCTAGGATTACAGGCGTGAACCACTGCGCCTGGCTATGTGCATTTATTTTTACAAATATAAATTTTGTTTTTGAGATGTACATCTTGGTGATTTGACATATGTATACATTATGTAATAACACAATGAACTTAACACATCCATCATTTCACATAGTTGCCAAATTTTGGTGTGTAAGTACACTTAAGGTCTAGTCCCTTCATCTACTTAAGAGAGTATTACTTAATCTCAAGTATACAATATGGTACTGTTAACTATATTCACAGTGTTGTACATTATTGAAAGAACTGTTGGTCTTGCTAGCAAAATAACAGCTAAAAATCCATTCTATAAACTCTCTCTCTCTCTCTCTCTCTCTCTCTGTAATGACAGGCACCCTGCCAGGTTCTGTTTTTTACAATATCTAATAATAAAAGGAGCCCAACAGACTAAAAGAAAATATAAATCTTTCTGTTTACATTCACCAGCTCACTGTCTTTTAGAATTTATAACCTCAAGGAGTTCCTAAGGAATCCTGAGTGGACAGCAGGAGGGCCAAACTCCAGGCCTCGGTTTCCTGCCTAAAACCATACCTCAGGGGCAAGATCAGGGCAACCATACCCCAGTGGTAAGTCTGACTACATTTCAGAGATAACCAAGTCTCCAGAAAGAAACAAACAAAAAAGCATAAGACGACAGGCTGAGGTCTCACAGCTGCCTCCTGCTAATTATTCCATAGCCACTTCTATTTCAACTGACAGCATTCACTGTTTTTTTTCTTTTCTCTTGGTCCCCATGAAAACCAATTTCTTGGCCTTGGCACAGGTACCTCACTTTTCTTTTGGGCTCCTCGCCATACAACTCCCCTCTCACTTTTCCCCTTTATTTCCTTTTTCTCTTGCCCACTTTTTGATTCTATTTCTTTCCTCCTAAAAGGTAAAATAAATTTTATACTTATATATCCCAATCTTTGTCTGAAGTAATCTTTCTCTAAACCCATATACACTAGCTCTCCACCTGAACAATTATATCCCCAGAGTTTATTCACCTTGTAATGAAAATTTGTACTCTTTGACAAATATCTCCCCATTTTTACCACTCCCCATTGTTGGCACCCACTATTCTCCTCTCTACTTCTGTGATCGCTACTTGTGTACATTCCACAGATGGCTCATATCATACAGTAATTTATTTCTCTATTTTATTTCAGTTACTATATTTCCACCTGGTTCCTCCATCCATGTTGTCACAAATGGCAGGATTACCTTTTTTTCTTATGGCTGCACAATACTCTACTATATATTATGAATAATCTGCTATAAATATAGGAGACCAGATATCTCTTTATTTGGTGGTTTTATTTCCTTTGCATATATACCCAGAAGTGAAATGGAAGAATTGTATGGTATTTCTGTTTTTAATATTTGAGGAGCCTCCATACTGCTTTCCATAATGGCTGGATCAATTTACATTCCCTCTGACATTGTAAAAGAGCTGCCTTTTCTCCTCACCATTTTTTTGCTTGACTTTTTTATAATAGTCATTAAAAGAAGTGTGAGGTAATATCTCATTGTGGTTTCACTAGCATTTTCATGCTGTATAATGATGTTGAGCATCTTTTCATAAACCTATTTGCCACTTTTATGTCTTCTTTAGAGAAATATCTACTCAGATTCATTGCACATTTTAAGTCAGATTTACTTTTTTTCGCTATTGAGTTGAGATCCCTATGTATTTTAAGTATTACATTTATCATATATATTTTCTTCCAATACTTATTCTGCTCTTTTATGTGTTTTTTTTTTTTCTTTTGCTGTTCAGAAACTTTTTGCTTTGATGTAGTCTTACTTGCTTTTGGTTTTTGCTTTTGTTGCTTATAGTTTTTTGGTGTGATATTAAAAAAAACATTTTACCATGCTAATGTCAAGGAGATTGTTCCCTATGCTTGCTTCTAGAAGTTATATAGTTTCTGGTTTTACATTTAATGTTAATCCATTTTGAGTAAATTTTTGCATATGGTATGAATGTACAATTTAATCTTATACATAGGGATAGCTCCTTTTTATCATCATTGATTGAAGAGACTATACTTTCTTCACCAAGATACACATATCTTGGTGCCCTTGTCAAAAACTAGTTGACTGTGTACTCATGGGTTAATTTCTGTTTTCTCTAATCTTCTCCATTGGTATTTGTCTCTTTTTATGTTAGTACCATACTCTTGGTTAGTATAGCTTTGTGATAGTTTGAAATCAAGAAGTGTGAAGACTCCAGCGTTGTTCTCCCTCAAGATTTTGTTGGCTATTTAGAATCATTTGTGGTTTCGTGGAAATTTTTGAATTCTTTACTATTTCTGTGAAAAATGCCATCGGAATTTTAATAGGGATTGTAGATTGCTTTGTATAGTATGGACATTTTATATACGTTATTCCAACTTATGAACAAGGACTATTTTTTCATTTATTTGCATCTTCTTCCATTTCGTTCATTAATGTCAGATTTTAGTGAACAGATGTTTTCACCTGTTTTGTCAAATTGAGTCTTAAGAATTTTATAGTATTTAATTCTATTGTAACTAGGATTGTTTTCTTAACTTTTTTCACAGATAGTTTATTGTTAGTATATAGAAATGCAACTAAGTTTTGAATGTTGATTTTATGACCTACAACTTTAGTGAATGGATTTAGTAGCTCTAACTTTTTTTGATATATTGTTTGCAATTTTCTATATATATGATCTCTTCATCTACAAACAGGGAGAATTTTACTTCTTCATTTCTGATTTGAATGCTTTTCATTTCTTTTTCTTACCTAATTGCTCTGCCTTGATATTCTAGTATGATGTTGAATAAAAGTGGTGAGATTAGGTTTCTTTCTCTTGTTTCTGATACTAGCAAAAATCTTTTAACATTTCATTATTGAGGATAATGGTACCTGAGGGCTTGTTATATAAGAACTTTATTATGTTGAGGTAAATATCTCTGTATGTATGTTGTTTCAAGTTTTTATTATAAATGTGTATTGAATTTTGTCCAGTGCTTTTAATTAATCAGCTGAGATAATCATATGATTTCCATCTTTTCTGTTTTTGCATTATATCATTTTTATTGATTCGTATATATTGAAACATCCTTGATCTCAAGTGTAAATGCTACTTGTTCATGGTGTATGGTCTTTTTAATGTGTTGATAAATTTGGTTTCTAGTATTTTGTTGAGAATTTCTGTTTGTATCTTCATCAGAGATGATGGTTTGAGCTTTTCTTTCTTGTAGTGACTTTCTTCTGATTTATCCAATATGTTGTCATATAATTGTTCACATTATGATCTTATTATACTTTGTATTTCTATAATATCAGTTCTAATGTCTCCTCTTTCATTTATAATTTTCTTCTGTCCTCTTTTGTTACTTTTCCTTTGGTTATTCTAGCC